GAAGACAGAACGTTTACGGCTCGGAGCATAGGGAAATTGTAACTACATAGTGAACATACTATGGATCATCATTCGCGTTGCAGTCAATGGCGGCAGGATTGAGTTACCTCCATCAGCATTAGCCACTGAATGACTAAAGGTATCAGCTGAAATATGTTCTAGTTACAATATGATAACCCGGTCCAAAACTCATATTATATGAATCGTACATGTAATCCTTTGAGATAAAAAGATACAATGTAAACTCAATTAGTCCTTTGCCATGTAATGCAAACACAAGCTCATCGAGTTATATATGGCTAAATCATTCCCTGGGTCCTGGGTAAATTAGCATTTGCATAGTTGAAGGTTTGATATCTCGGGCTCACAGGAACCATTTGGAAAGATCTTTAACATTTACAAAGCTGGACCCATTTATATATTAAGGATAAATGTATTTATATGAAGCTGAATTTCTGGGATTTGCTTGATTTTAGGTTGTATTGGACTTTGTAATTCTGTTAATGAAACGCTAAAAAGCAGGTCTATGAAAAATCCAAACAGTAGAACTCCTTTATCTGACGAAATATAGCTTCCCAAGCCGAGAATGAGCAAGTGCGCTTTCCTGACAAAAGTGGATAGATTACTGGGAACAGTGACAAAGATGGAAGATTAGATTAAAGTCATCTGTTCATATTTCCTGTGTAGCAAGCTATGTTATGCCACTAAAAAGAAAACGTGTTGCTGGGACTGTATCAACTGATGATGCTCTGATTGACGACCCGATACTGTGCTGTAATAGGTGAGGTGAAATTCGGTTTAATCGTCGTGCTTGAGAATATTTCTGCCTATAGCGACGACGTGCATGCGTGTGTGTGCGGCTGCTTGTACTAGCCCAGACTTAAGCTGGTTTTATAGTGCTAGCCCACTGAGATACCATGCCGCAGTGAAGCATACGAATACCCCACTCAGACACATTATACTGACTCCGAGCCGACCAGTCCTTTGTTGTACCCATTAATGCCGAGCGCCAGGCAGGGACCAACAAGTACCATATTTTAACGTCTTTGTTGGTATGACGCGTTTCGGGGATCGAACTCCGCGACCTTCCGCTCCAGGGCGGGACGCTCTAACCACTCACACCACGGAGGCGGTCCCAGTTGTAATATATTAATGGTACAGTCTTATAAGATGACGCTCTTAGATGTCATTTGCCGCTAGGTATCATATATCATACCTACCGCAGAAAAAATATGCATAGAGGCACTATCCCCTTGTGTGTTTTGGGATTGTTTATGGAGCTGTGGGTTGGTAAGAGGTGAATGTGTTCGCGAATGCCACTGAAGACAGGGTTCGGATTGTATGGTGCAAGAGCGCAGAAGTCCATTTCTAGTGTTCCCTTCGACGTGATGTTGCTGGAATATTGTTAAAGCGGCAATATACCAATAATACACTCACCGGCGAATGCACCAGCAGCGCCTATGGTCGCACGTACCAGTTAATACGCCGAACAAAACCCATCGCCCGCCATATTGAAAAACATGGCTGAAAGGTGTCCGGCATTAAGCAACATAACAAAGGAGCTGATGGAATACTTCATAGATATCCGGTGTTATCACCAACACAAAGGTCGATGTCCTTTTGAGGAAGCGCTCGCTGTTACCTTCTGCAATCAGAGTCCGTATAAGCTGGACCAAAGCAAGAGAAAGCAGCTTTGATCCAGCATCTTGAGGAAATTCCCGTAAAGAACAAGTCAGTGCGTTGGGTAAATTCAAAACACCCGTGGAACTGGAGCAACCCTAAAATTTAATCGGCCTATCTTTCTGAGAGGAGTCCAGCTCACTTTTCGGGCTGGTGGAAAAGTATACAGAACCCAGATGATATGGCTTATAGCAGCGCGATGAGATGGTGTTGCATATATGCAAACTACGCTGGTCGGCGATGCACAGTCTGTGTTTACTCACCTTAAGTTTCTGTGCCACTTCTCTAACTGGAATGCCCCCTGATGTAGCACAAAAAGTGTAGCTGGTTCAGATAACAATCTTCTCTCATTTATGTGAATATCGATCAGACTTCAACTATGTAAGCGGTTCTCAACTCTCATCTGGAATGAAGGTACTTACCATGATATATCACAAGAAAGGGAGTGGGGAATGAAACGCAATTATATTTCTTTCAGTACTCTCATGTCAATACTGACTAGCAGATGGAATAATATTCTCCACATGGTTAAGGATTTATTCAATGATTGGTCATGAATGGATATTGGTCTGGGGGAACATAATTTTTCGTAAAAGTATATACGCGTTGATTTAGCAAATGATGACAAGCTTGTGGTTGCCATGTTTTAACAATCAATGATTTTTTCAATGGTGAAAAGCAAAAAATCCTGCATGATCCTCGTATTCACTCCGTACTGCTGCGGGAACTCTCCTTCCTGGCAGTCCGGGTAGGCAAACAACCAATGCTGTTATCTTCAGAGATCAACGGTACGCCCTAGATAAGCCTCCGAGAGACTGTCATGGATGTTAACCACAGTCGCCTGGTCGAGAGTCGGTTGCAGCAGTCTTTGTAAAAGTCTCCTAATGGTTCCAATGGGGAATAGGGTTTGGTTTCTTATTGAGGTGCGGCGTTGACGCATTGTTTGAAATGGCAAACACTTCTTGTCATCCCATTTTGCCTCGGCGTGTCACCGGTTCCCTCATACATCCATTTCCTTTCGTGTTCGTACCTCATCATTACTTTGTTCCAAAACGCCAGTTTCTGTATTTTTAGTTAGTTGGGTTTTACGCCGCTTTCAGCAGTATCTCCAGCAATACTACGGCGGGGACAATTCAGAATGGGCTTCTACACATCAGTCCTGTTGCTAGAGATCCTGATGTGCAATAATACATAATAAAATATATCTTGTTCATTTTATGTTCCATCTTGACTTCTTTCTTTGTGACATATTCTGTTACAGTACAAGCATTTACCGCCAGCCCTATCGGGCTTTCAAGAACTTCTGAATTTGTGTGGATACATTGGATCCTTCCTTTTAACAAACACCCTGAAGTACTTCTGACACATATACATATGAAACTGCCTCGAGAGTGTAACATGACAAAGATAACATACAACAGATGTGGTTGTGTCGCCATATCCGATAACCGTAAGCACATAATCATATGAATTAAATCAAACAAATACAAAACCGCCTAGTTATCTTTTATAACTTTTCATTTGAGTCGTTTTGTTCTGTTCAAGTTGATTCTAATTACATAAGCAATGTTGCCTGCATAAATATACTTTCTATTGATGCAATCTACTTGTTAAAAATGTTGTGTCTTTTTCGTCAAATTTTCATTCACTTATAAGCCCGTTTCTAGGAGCCATTGACAATATTGTTCCCATTTATAACCCTCACGAAATGCTATGCTCCGGTATATGGTAAGTACTGTTTATCCCTCTGTAGCTTGAATCATTTATTGTCTGCTATGCATGTGGTAAAATGGGAAATCGTGATCACATTCTTTTAATATTTGTATGGCTCAATGTCACTTATTGATTTGATAATGGATATACTCATTAGCATTTAAAGTTAGAAAAAATATCAGTGAGTCCCTTTGACTGAAAATTTCTGCTTTGAAAAATAATGAGTGGAGTGAGTGAGTGAGTGAGTTAATATTTCACGTCACATCGGCAATATCTCAGCCATATCGTGACGAGAACATATTCTTTGAAAAAAAATAATTCTATAGCCGTTTTCACAATGAATTTACAAGCGACGATGCTATCTCCACAATGGCTTGCTAAAACATTCAGACATTTCTGGTCACATTGCAGGAAATGTGATGAAGAATGCGACGATTCGAAACAGTGTGATTGTCAACTACCCCTGCTCATTCTGAGGCATATAATGTAAAGGTATCATCTTCAAAATACCCATCAGATGTCTGTGTTCGAATGATTATGGATATTTTTATGACTCCGGATGAAGAATCTATCACGTGAGTACACACAAAAATGTAGCAATCACAAAAAAATAGAAGGTGTATTCGATTTCAATGCATAGGTCACTGTATGACCTGGTTTATTTTGTGTGTCCTCGTGGCTTGAAGGCATCAGTCCTTCTTTATGCACTCTCTTGGTCAATGGGAATATAACTCGTTTTGTTTGACTATGACCTTCGTTTCTGACGACTTGAGGCTATTTTAGAACTGAGAAGCTTCAGTCGTCCACTCTGGAATCGTCGCTCACTTTGGAAGTAGTAGTAATAGTTTTGGCCGCCTTTAGCAATAGTCCAGCAATCACGGCGAGGGACACCCAGAAATGGACTTCAGACATTGTATTCATGTGGGGAATCGAACCCAGGTCATCGGCGTGATGAAGAAACGCTTTAATCACAAAAGTTGTAAACATGAACAAATTACAGCACAAACTTTCTCAATAATTATGCTTATTGACAGCTGATTCTCATCATAAATGTGACTTGTACAATAATGGGTATATATGGTTCTATCCAGAGATCATTGTGTTGCCAGCATTTGCTTTTAGAGTAAACATAGAGATAAAAGCATTGTCATCTTTAGGGCTTGACAAAGCTGTAGTTTTGTTTTGCAGAGTATATGCTGTAATATAAAATTACTAGCAAAATAACTGCCTTTCGACAACTACCCGTGTTTTTGGAACAGCTACTGCCAAACCTGGGTTGCTGCAAAGCATAATGCCCCACGAGCTGTACGAATACTATCATATAAAGTGGACGAAGCTTGTCCTTCTTAAGGAGACGCAGATTGTTATCTCAAGCGACTTAGCCGTGTAATACTTTGCAGAGAAACAGGGACACAATGGGTTCCGTGCGTCGTCCCGTAAATATCGTGACCGGACACACGCCACGTTCTGAGATTGCTATTCTTTAACAGTGTCGGCGAAAAAAAGTTGTCCCTTATCAAAATACAATTGAGCACGCTTTGCTTCACACCTTCGAATATTTTATCATGAATCTATCCATTCCTGTCACACAAATACTATCATTTCAGAAAGAACTTTCTCGAGATAAGACTTTTCTATGAGGACCTGACCGTACAGTCGACAGATCAAATTCCAAAGTACACAACGGAGACTCTCATTGGTGAGTACACTCATGATATTCGTTATTTCAACGGGTTTTCTTACGAAGTATAGGAAAGTATTGAAGTACGACTGACCACAATATATGACGGTGTGATCCTATTCTTTAAGTCAGCTGCTTCCCTATTGTATTCATTTATGTAGAATTTATAGATTTTCCTAAGCAGGCTTCCCAGTTAACCTATTATTCATCCTACACCTTGACGTTTTTTGTGTTGCCAGGAAACCTGGGGGGTCAGATGGGCATCTGTCTCGGAGCCAGTATCTTGACTGTCACAGAACTCGGAGAATTCCTCCTCCTTGTCTGTCTGTCCATCTTCAGAAGATGTAAGCGCGGCAGCGAAGTCAAACATGTCAAACCTGTGAAGCAATGAAGAATATGCAGGTTGTTTAAGAGGCATTTAGACGTTGTCATTAACGACCGGGCAGGGTTGTCTTGTGCATTATATTTTTGCTATTCTCTTCATCGGTGTTTCGATTGTGGTGTTGTTACCGTCGGGAAACTGGTGTGCAACTAGGTACGATGTCGTTATGCAGCTAAGAGCTTAAGTGCATCAATATCGATCAAGGACAATTTGACGGAGCCTCTGGTTTGATTGCAATGTGTGGTTGGAATAGATGACTAATACATATATATGATGTGATTCCATTTGATAGGTGAGGGATCCTCAAGGGTGCTAAAGTACTGTAAAATTATTGCCCTCCTGAGAGGGTACGTAAGTCCACAAACTTTCAAAGTAAATTCAAAGTTTCTAGTATTTTTAATCTTAGAATATGTGCCTTTTAAATGTATGGCTAGAGTTGCTAACGGTTGAAGGGATGATGTAAATCCAGCTAGGGCCCATGCAGGAAACAAATGTACTGTAAGTCCCCATGGTCCCTAGTATGGTGATCTACCTTCAGACGCTGGCAATCTATAGCCTGTTTTTATATTGTATTGTCATTAATAGTTCAAATATATTAGATTTAGTTACTAGTTTTAATGGATATCTGTGATACACTGGTAGTTTTACTGTTCTGCGTCAACATGTTATTAATTTCTTACTTTATTGATCTTTAATATAATTATAAATTGTTCTCGTCACGATATGGCTGAAATATTGCCGTGTGACGATAAATATTACCTCACTCACTCATGATAGGTGAGGGTTGGCTGCTTGATGAATAATAGTATTTGCTATCCAATGCCATTCCCTCGTCTGCAAAGAAAGCCAACGCTGTAGAAACTGCAATAACTAATAGTCTGTGGATACTTCCAAGGAATGCGTGAGCACGGATTTGTAAAGAACAGAGTCAGAGATTATTTGTCTTGCTCACAGATCCATATGTGAAAACACATGCATTTTGTGCAGATTTGTATATCACTCTAGTTTTATGCTTGTTCTAACAGTCGGATCAGATGGAGTTTGTGTCATATTGGCTGAGTGTTTGAAGTAGAGTTCTTCTCAAGGTTTTAGGGATTGTTTTGTCTGTTCAAAACTACAGTTATTATGCAACCTGAGTAATGTTGACATTCATGGAATGTCGAGTGAGGCCGCACACTGACACGGGGTTAGGAACGTTCACATAGGTGTGAAATATCACTTTGAAAATGTTGGGATCGAATTTGCTTTGCGATAGAATCATTAATGTGCACAGCCTCCTCTCAATCCCATACCTTCACAAAAATCATTCACACCAATATAAAGAATGATATATTGTATAAACTTTGCATATGCTTGTATTATTGTCATTAATTGCTCCAAGTATTTAGAAAATGTTAAGAACCGTGTTAAATTGTTTCCACCTCATCAGACAACAGCAAAAGTAGCGGCACGAGATAGCGGATACGTCTTACGTAAAGTGGGACGAATCAAATAATAGCAGACGTATTCTGACTAGAACAATTTATACAAAATTGAATAAATTTAGTCCATAGAACCTCAGTAAAAAGCAGTGAAACTACAAATGTATCACAGATTCTGACTTAAAAGTAGCAAGCTATCAGAAACAAATATTACAACAGAAAACAAGACAATATGGAAACGGGCGACAAATCGACAATTGATCACCAGCAAAACCAGGGGCCATGCGGAATCACAGTACATTTTCTACTTTCTTTGACCACCTACAGAAGATATAAAAAATGCACCAATCTCAAGCCTAGCAAACCTACTAATACATCAGTAGTCTGAAAGTTTCAAGATAGAAGTTTGATGATATATATTTCTACATTTGAATGACTTGTGCACTATTACTTCAAAGCGAAAGTAGTGTACGAAATGTGACATCGCACGGAATTGGTGAGCACAGAAAAAAACCAACTAATTGTACTGACAATCAGTATTTACAGGTAAATGTAGATGTACATGCACACGTATTTAAGAACTATTACATGCTGTAAACTTCGTACAATTTGCCATTTCGACAAATGCCATTAATAAACATTATGCAGCATTGCTTGACCTTTTTGTCCTTTTTGCCACTTTCATTGCACCATTTGACGCAGAGAAATAACATGGAGAGATACGTCATCTTTACCCAGTGCTTGTCTTATCCAGCTGATTTATAAGATCGGGTTATCCGGCTCTGGTGGTCAAGGCGCCATTGTAATGCAAATATATAAATTATTGTTCATACCTTTTGGTACTGGTTTGTCAGTACAAACGTAATATTTAATACGTTAGGTGGCCTGCAGGGTTTGAGTGATCATGAAGCATGCGACACAGTCAGAGGAACATAATCATCAGTTATCGGGAGAAAATGTTACTAAGATATCTAACCAACTAATCCCCGAAGCCATTCTCAAAAGTTCGGCGTTGTGGAAGCTGCGATGGCTGAGTGGGTTAGATCACTGACTTTGAGTACTGGGCATTTAGTGCCACATTCCGAAAACGTGAACTCGTAACTAGGGAAAGGATTCAACCTCCCAATAGATGCAAGAATATGTACTGGAACAACCCATTTTATCAGAAACAATGTCACAATATATTTCTAAAAGGACATCATGTATTAATAGCTCAAGGCCATAGAAGATTTGCGAAATAACACTTGTTAGAGGGCTACACTAAGGTTGTGGATCTTGAATATGATTTGTCGGATTTCCATTTTCGTGAAATCAACTGTGACAGTGATTCAGATCGCTGATATTGTATGCTGGTGATGAGGTGCTTCTCTTGGAGTGTGGATACGAATTCCTATTGATTCAACCAAAACAAGTATTGGTCCAGCATGTGTAATTTACAACGGAAGTGTAATCGCAAATATAACACATGTCAGTATTGGAGTGCTAGTCAACACGGATGACATTTTGAAGTGGAAAAAGAGAGAAGAAAATGCAGGTGCCTGCTGAGTGCAGTGAGTTGCTGGCATAAAAGATGATCATGTACCAGAAACATGCAAACGTTCAGTGGGTCTTCAGTCAGAAGACTAAAACTTCCTTCCTTATGTCAGTAGCCTTTGATGATATCATTATGTTCATGTGTTACGGGCAGACTACGTATAGAGCAGCATCAGAACCATGACAGCAACTAAAGCCGCCAATCCGGTTATATTACGCACAGCGAAGACAAATCAAAGGTAAGTAACGCTCGATCGATTCTTAGACATAGATATGGCTAACAGCAGCGTTTCCAAGACATTCGCGATCTGGCAGCGGGTGCCGGTGTGACGGTTCAGTATAAGGTTGTAACAATGCAGCAGAGGCCCTGACTTCGGACAAGAACGTTGCTAGGACAGATAAACTTTCATCCACTGACAATATAGGAAGTCTGTGGGCTGATTTCATACAGAATACGGGATTCCATGGAGCCAATCAACTCACCCATGGACATAACTACGGACTACGATGGTAGGTAGAGCATAGAGTAACTGTAGCAATATAATGAACACACCCTGCATCAATGGGTTTGCAGTTAGCGGTACTGATTGACAAATGTGTGGCAAGACTGGCTGCTATGCTTCCATAGTTATAATGACTGTCTAAGTATCAAAGTAAGTGTTGAGGTTATAATGTGATTTCTTCTAATTTAATTTTAATGTGTTTAGATAACATGGTATATGAACCGTGCATATACACTCTGAGAAAACTAATACAATACAAACTCACTTAGTCCGATTGCCATGTAATGCAAAAAGACGTTACTGAGATGGATAAGTGAGATTATTTTCTCTCATGGGTAAGTGATTGGTCAGTATTCAGTGAAACACAATGGATAGTTGAAGATTTGATACCGAGTACAGGCACAATTCACACGTAGACTTCATTTAATATTAAAGGAGATAGATTTAACATAAACATCTTAGCATATGCTAAATCGACGAACAAATTATACTTATTTACTCCAATTTATTAAACTTAATACCTGATCTTATTATGATCTAAAAGGAACCAAACAACTGCTCTTATTGCACAACCTGCTCATTGCTTGTTGCACAACCTCAGCAAAGCTCGCGCTATGACATCAGAGTGGAGAGCCGCCTCCCGTTTGTTTACAGTGCATTCATCTAAATAACACTCGGGTGAGTTTTCCGTTAATCTTGGTTTGTGCGAGATTCTTTCGTCGGGGTATCCCAGTCCATCAAAAATGTACCAAGTGACATTTCTTAAGATTTCCAAGCATAACTGTAGACAAACTTAGCAAGGAGGAAATGTCGGATATTGCATAACTAGTATCAATGGTAAATGGTCACAACCATGTATACTACACATACTTTTCAAAAGTAAAGTCAGCAGTAATCATGTACATAAAGAAGTGTTAGGTATATTTTAGATTAATATTGTCAGTTTTAATTCAATAGTGCTATGTTTATTTGTTCCTTCGTTTATGTTGTGTTTGTGTGTAATATAAGGTAGTCCGTGATATAATGATGGATCTTTTGGTTAAGACTAATAGAGTACTTAATGTGAGCTTAATACTAGCCACGGAGATTTTTCAGTGAAGTACATGTACAACAAATGTTTAAACGGCAAGAATAACTGAACCAACCATCACTAGACACAGACAATATACAATTAATGCATAATTTTCATTTGTATAGAAAACAAGAAATCACAAGCAATTTATTTTGACAACAATGAGCTTGCACAATTCACATAAGAAAATCTGCTTACGAAAACATAGATAAGTATCGTCATTTTTACAGAAACGCGAGGGTAGCGTCTAATATTACTAGGTTTATAGTATAACGCTTCTAGTTCTCCTATTCACTGGTATATGTATATGGTTACATAAATATGTACAAACATATGCTTGATTCTTGAATTACTTTCTGTATAGTCATATGTACACACACACCACTGTTACACCTGAAACATAAATACACCTGTGAAGAAAACTCGCAATCGTAAAAATTGTAAAATCTGTCTACGAAGGACAGAAAGACAACATTACTA